AGTCATTGTCTGTAGTGATTTTGGAGCCCAGGAAAATAAGATCTGTCACTGCTTCCATTTTTTCCCCATCTATTTGCCATGAAGTGATGGAACCAGATGTCATGATCTTAGTTTTTTGAATGTTGAGTTTTAAGCCAGCTTTTTCACTCTCCTCTTTCACTCTCATCAAGAGGCTCTTTAGTTCCTCTTCACTTTCTGCCATTAGAGTGGTATTATCTACATAACTGAGGTTACATAAGCTTCCTCATTCTTTTGTAATAACTGCATAGTATTCCAGTGTGTGACTGAAACCTAACTGACTGGTTCCCTTCTGAGAGACATCTAAGTTGCTTCTAATCCTTCATCATTCTAAACAGTGCCATAATGAATAACCAGGTACACATATGTCATTTTATACAAACACTAGTTTAGCATATAGTAATGAATTTGCTAAATCAAGAGTTATATATAAATTTGTAATTTTGACAGTTGTAAAAAATGTCCTCCAAAGAAAAAGTATCAATTTACTTTCCCACTAGTAGTGGCTCAGGGTGCTAGTATCCCTTGAGCTATGGCAAAGTTTTAAATTTTTACTCATCTGAGAGAGAAAATGATCTCTTGGTGACAGTTAATTTGCATTTATTCTATGACAAATGAGGTTGAACATCTTTTCATATGTGTAAGTCATTTGTACTTCCATTTCTGTGAACCGACTGATTATACCTTTGGCTATTTTTAAAAAATATTAATATATAACTTTTTGGCCTTTTCTTTGCTGTATCTTAGATCTCTTTATATTGGGAGGCTAGCTTTTTGTGAAATGAGTTGCATATGATGGAGTGGCCAAAAAGTTTGCGTTTTTCAGTTCAGTGCTACGGAAAAACCCAAGTGAACTTTTTAGCCAACCCAATATTTTCTCATTTTGTAACTTTCTTTTTCCTGCTTTTTAAAACCAAAAAAAACCCAGCCACCTCATTCTTCATGTGACATGTTCAACCTTGGGCTATCTCTTGTTTCCATGCAACCTCAATCATCCAGACTCACTGAGGGCTCCACATGTGCTGGGGCATGGCCTTTCTTTCACATTTTCACCCACTCTGCCATGTCATTTCTAGAGGTTCAGTACCAGGTCTCAGAGAGCACAACTTGTCAGTGGCAGAGATGGAACTTGAATGCAAGTCTCCCTGAACTACAGGGAGTTAGGAGTATCTCAGCCCCCACATAGGGGGTCCACTGTGATTTGAGAGAATGTCAAATCTTAATATTTATCAAAGGAAAGCAGAATTCATGAACTACAATCTACTAGGAGAAAAACAAATGAAAAGTGGTCATGTATTATGATCCACTACTGAGCATTGCTCTCCATTCAGGCAAATGGAGAAGTTCAAGATTGTATAACCTCAGCAGTTAATTATTAATATCTGTTAATTATGCTGTGAAGAAATTGCCACTTCCTGTAATGCCTCTGTTAGTCTCTGTTCATTGTCTCCATTTTACACATATAATTTATTGATGACCCCATACAGGCAAGCCTTTATCATAGTTGATCCATACCTTTCTTTATATCTTAATGTGACCAAAAGCTACTAATAGATTCAGTTTATTTTTTTCATTTTTAGTGATGTAATGGCTTTTTATACTAGCCGTCAGGGGTCAGGGTGGATATGTAAAGAAATAAAGGTTCCCTTTCTTTACCTAGAGATGTTCTCTGTGTGTGTGTGTGTGTGTGTGTGTGTGTGTGTGTGTGTGTGTGTGTGTGCCTGTCTCATCTCCAGGGAAACTTAACACTATTCTTTTCACACCTTTTCAGAACGAAGCACAATAGCCAGGGAGATGTGAATCCAAGGAAAGCTGTTGTAATTAGTGGTAGATTCAGGGAAAGGTGAAGAAGTCAAGAAGCTCTGAGTAACCAAAAATGATAGTGATAAATACTGTATCCTCTCTGATAAAATCTTGGGTCCCCAACTGCATGAGAATAATCATTTAAAGAATAATTCCATGTAAGTGGAATGGGTGTTTTATTTTACTCTTAAATGTTGAAGGTGATCTGTAGTAGAATGAATTATTTTGACTGCATGAGATAGAAAGGAGATAAGAGAGTGGGAGAAAATAAAAAATTGTGGCAACACTCTTGGCCCACTGAAAGTAGCCTGCTTCAGATTATTTTCTTAATATAATTTTTTTAAATTGGAGGCTAATTACTTTATTGTATTGGTTTTGCCATACATTACATGAATCCGCCATGGGTGTACATGTGTTCCCCATCCTGAACCCCCCTCCAACCTCCCTCCCCATCCCATCCCTCTGGGTCATCCCAGTGTACCAGTCCTGAGCACCCTGTATCATGCATTGAACCTGGACTGGTGATTCATTTCATATGATAACATACATGTTTCAATGCCATTCTCCCAAACCATTCTGCCCTCGCCCTTCCACAGAGTCCAAAAGACTGTTCTATACATCTGTGTCTCTTTTGCTGTCTTGCATACAGGGCTATCATTACCATCTTTCTAAATTCCATATATATGCATTAGTAATACTGTATTGGTGTTTTTCTTTCTGGCTTACTTCACTCTATATAATAGGCTCCAGTTTCATCCACCTCATTAGAACTGATTCAAATGTATTCTTTTTAATAGCTTAGTAATATTCCATTGTGTATATGTACCACAGCTTTCTTATCCATTTGTCTGCTGATGGACATCTAGGTTGCTTCCATGTCCTGGCTATTATAAGCAGTGCTGCAATGAACATTGGGGTACACGTGTCTCTTTCAATTCTGGTTTCCTCGGTGTATATGCTCAGCAGTGGGATTGCTGCGTCATGTGGCAGTTCTATTTCCAGTTTTTTAAGAAATCTCCACACTCTTTTCCATAGCGGCTGTACTAGTTTGCATTCCCACCAAGAGTGTAAGAGGGTTCCCTTTTCTCCACACCCTCTCCAGCATTTATTGCTTGTAGACTTTTGGATAGCAGCCATCCTGACTGGCGTGAAATGGTACCTCATTGTGGTTTTGATTTGCACTTCTCTGATAATGAGTGATGTTGAGCATGTTTTCATGTGTTTGTTAGCCATTTGTATGTCTTCTTTGGAGAAATGTCTGTTTAGTTCTTTGGCCTATTTTTTGATTGGGTCATTTATTTTTCTGGAATTGAGCTGCAGGAGTTGCTTGTATATTTTTGAGATTAATTCTTTGTCAGTTGCTTCATTTGCTATTATTTTCTCCCATTCTGAGGGCTGTCTTTTCACCTTGCTTATAGTCTCCTTCGTTGTGCAAAAGATTATTACTTGCTTGCAACAGTGAGAAAAGATGTCAGAGGTCTCTATGAGCCTCTTTGCTCTTAATCTCTTATTTCTACACAGCCTATGTTCTCAAGTTATAATTATGTAAGTTCCAAAATCATTCCTGTGGCAGTCCCATAAGATGTATAACTGAATGCATGTCTCATAAATCCCAAAATATGGGATAAGGAAATGTTTGTACACCCTGCCTGGGTATCATACAAGCATTATGAATATTCAACTGTGCTTGCTTAAGGCAACAATAGCCATTTCAGTGAGCGGATGATCTGGTCATACGTGAGTTCTTCTCCCAAGCAGCCTCCATTCCTGTGTCACCCCTGTCCTGTATGTGCCTTGCTGCTGCCTAAGTGCAGTCCTGGCCTTCCCAGAGAAGATTGGTTATTATAGGACGGCCTCTAACAACACAAGCCTACTACTTCTTTTGGAAGTCACCAAAAGACACGGTCATCTGTAACCATGCATGGGGAAAACTGGCCGCACAATACATTGAACAGGTCATTTCCTAAATAGTTTTTAAGGATGATTTTGGACTGTATGATTTTTTTTCCCTTTATGTTGACTTTTGAACCTAAGCTTCATCTAAGAATCAAGTTTACTGAATTAGCATTATCTTAAACTCATTTTTTTCATTCAGAAAATACTTATTGTCTACCATGTGTCAGGTCTGGACACAAAAATTCTGACAGACCTCAGCAAACTTAAATTGTAGTGGATTCTGAGTACTTGTTGTATGCTGAAAGCCTTTTTATTTGTACAATGTATTTGTGTAATATCCATGAAAGACCAGCCTCAGTGTCCCACCTAGAATGTGGTGAAAAAGAATTCTGAACCTCTAAATAAAACAATTTTTTACAATAAAAAGGTAATGTCATGTGAAATATATTACTGCATGTAGTCAAAGAATAAAATGGATGGTAAACATCATAAACATAAAAATTCAGAGTAGTGGATGTCTCTGAGGAGAAGGAGGAGTATATGATCCATAAAAACTACTAAAGGCAATTGAACTACATGAATAATATTTTATTTCTTATGCAACAGTTTAGGTGCATGAGTATTTGCTGATCTCCTTATACCTTATACCTGTCATAAATTTTGCGCAAAAATTTTCAAAGATGAACCCAGAAGAGGAAGAAAATGATGATATGTATGGGAATGGAAAATAGGTTTTAAAATTCCTAAATATTTAAGGTCTTTTCCCTGTAACTGTGGGTATAAGAAAGAGTTTAGATTCAGCACCCATCTATTTCCACTGTGTTGGTTCTTTCTGTTGGTGAGACATTTTCTAAGTTATTTTACTTATTCCTAGTTTAAAATTTTTATGCAATATTCAAAGTTCAGGGCCAAAAAAAAAATGCATTTTTGAAATTGCGCAAAACACTGGATCTTATACCTAAAGCATTACAGCAGTGGTTTCATTGGAGAGAATTGAGTCATTTTCCCAGAAAGGAGGCACGGGGGGGGTGAAGAATTTTCAAGCTGAAGATACATTGTGACTGACAGGGGATGCAAGCTTGGAGTGGCCCTTGCTCCATTAGCAGCTGTTTTTCCCTGATGGCCATTGACCTTTGTGACACTAGCGTAGAGAGACTCAGTATCAAGGGATGTTTTACTAGACAGGAAATTGGTACAGGACTAATAGAGCTAGAATTTGAAGTAAAAATTGTCCTTACTGATGTTCTTTATCTCTCTCTCTTTTTTTAACATTTTAACTGCAGTGAAGGGAGCAATCTGACCCCAGCACATCACTACCCAGACTTCAGATTTAAGACATATGCTCCGCTAGCATTCCGATATTTCAGAGAACTTTTTGGTATCAAGCCTGATGATTACTTGGTAAGAACTTATCATTTTCCTTCCTTCTCCAGAAATGTGTGATGTCAACATTTGTCTCATAGCAATAGCAACAAGTGTCTCATAGCAACAGCAACAAATGGCCTGCGTCTCTTACTTTACAAAACTCTGGAGCATAGCAAAAGGATCAAGTTTTATAATGATTATAAATTTAGCTTCAGGAAATATGTTTTGACTCTAAGTTTTATCTGATAGCTATAGAATCTACTATGGTAATTGATATTTAAATAAGTGGAATTCGGTTGCTACTTCAGATAATTCTTCTAACAGATATAATTAACTATAAATACTCCTGTGAGTTTTGCTGATTGGGTTCTCTTTGAAAGCCTTCCTATTTTAATTCATTCATCTCAAACCTGCCATGGCCCATGGCCATGTTCACCTTGACCTACAATTTGAATATGATTTTAGAGAAGCTGGATAGTTTTGTCCTAAACAACTCTTCATGTGGGCTCTTTCTGAAGGTATTTTTTATTTGGTACGAGGGCATGTATTATCCTTAAGTCTGTCTTTTCTCCCTGTCTGCCTTTTGGCATGCAGCCAGTACAAACACAGCAGGCTTTTTGTGAGAAAGTCTGATGTGACCTCAGAGTTTTACCTTATTCTTGTTCAAGAAGCCAGGAAGTCTCTTTCTGTTTCAAGAGAAAAATGGTTTATCTTATAATTTGATCACTGTTAACACCCTGGGGCTCTTGAAAATTGTTTTTCAAGAAGCTTTGGGAAGGATACCATCAAATATTTATTGTTCATTCCATTCTGAATGATCTTAGTAAGACTTGAGCCAGATCTGAGAATAATCCTTTGCAGAAGAAGTATACCAACATGTGTTACTTATTAACAGAATATTTAAACTCTGTTTTATAATTTGAATATGGTATAAATGATTAAATTCAAAGCTGATTCTGTTCTGAGCTGATAAAACCCATGAATGATCCTCTCCCTTAGTTGGGCCCTAAGGAAAACTTCTGCCTGATGAATGAGTGAATATACTGGTTGCTCAAGGAAGTAATAGTAAGTCTTCATAGAGCATGAGAACTGAGTAGAACTGTGTAGTACTGTGAGCATGCTGCTGGCTTAAACATGCACTCATACTGCTCACATTTGGGATTCCCTGGTAGCTCAGCTGGTAAAGAATCCGCTTGTACTGAAGGAGACCCCGGTTCAATTCCTGGGTCAGGAAGATCCGCTGGAGAAGGGATAGGCTACCCACTCCAGTTTTCTCAGGCTTCCCTGGTGGCGCAGCTGGTAAAGAATCAACCTGCAGCGTGGGAGACCTGGGTTCAATCCCTGGATTGGGAAGATCCTTGGAGAAGAGAACGGCTACCCACTCTAGTATTCTGGCCTGGAGAATTCCATAGGCTGTATAGTTCATGGGGTCTCAAAGAGTCAGACACAACTGAGTGACTTTCACAAACAACTCAACATCAAAAATAAATAAACAACCTGATTTAAAAGTGAGCAGAGGCTCTGAATAGACATTTCCCCCCAAAAAACATACAGATGGCCAACAGGTACATGAAAAGATGCTTAGTATCACTAATCAACAGAGAGATGCAAATCAAAACCACATGAGCTGTCACGTCACATCTGTCAGATGGCTGTGCCGCTCTCTGCCTCCCCACACCACACCTCTACCTCTCCACACCCCGTTGGTGGAGAGATTAGGTGCTTCTAGAGCAATGTCAACCCTGTCCTCTTAACCACGCAAGTACGTGCACACAGGCGTTTTCAGGATGTGGGGCAGGAATTTCATTAGGGAAGATCCTTTAGTTTCTGGCCATTTGGCAGTTACTGAGGGTCACTCTGGTTTTAGAAAAGGCAGAGGAACCAGATATCAAATTGCCAACATCTGCTGGATCATCAAAAAAATGAGAGTTCCAGAAAAACATCTATTTCTGCTTTATTGACTATGCCAAAGCCTTTGACTGTGTGGATCACAATAAGCTGTGGAAAATTCTGAAAGAGATGGGCATACCAGACCACCTGACCTGCCTCTTGAGAAACCTTTATGCAGGTCAGGAAGCAACAGTTAGAATTGGACATGGAACAACAGACTGGTTCCATGTAGGTTCCAAATAGGAAAAGGAGTACGTCAAGGCCATATATTGTCACCCTGCTTATTTAACTTATATGCAGAGTACATCATGAGAAACGCTGGGCTGGAAGAAGCACAAGCTGGAATCAAGATTGCCAGGAGAAATATCAATAACCTCAGATATGCAGATGACACCACCCTTATGGCAGAAAGTGAAGAAGAACTAAAGAGCCTCTTGATGAGAGTGAAAGAGGAGAGTGAAAAAGTTGGTTTAAAGCTCAACATTCAGAAAACAGACCATGGCATCCGGTCCCATCACTTCATGGCAGATAGATGGAAAACTGTGGAAACAGTGGCTACTTTATTTTTCTAGGCTCCCAAATCACTGCAGATGGTGATTGCAGCCATGAAATTAAAAGACGCTTATTCCTTGGAAGGAAAGTTATGACCAACCTAGACAGCATATTAAAAAGCAGAGACATTACTTGGCCAACAAAGGTCCGTCTAGTCAAGGCTATGATTTTTCCAGTGGTCATATATGGATGTGAGAGTTGGACTGTGAAGAAAGCTGAGCGCCAAAGAATTGATGCTTTTGAACTGTGGTGTTGGAGAAGGCTCTTGAGAGTCCCTTGGACTTCAAGGAGAGCCAACCAGTCCATCCTAAAGGAGACCAGTCCTGGGTGTTCATTGGAAGGACTGATTTTGAAACTGACACTCCAATACTCTGGCCACCTGATGAGAAGAGCTGACTCATTGGAAAAGACCCTGATGCTGGGAAAGATTGAGGGCAGGAGGAGAAGGGGACGACAGAGGACGAGATGGTTGGATGGCATCACTGACTCGATGGACATGGGTTTGGGTGGACTCCCGAACTCGATGGACATGGATTTGGGAGCTGGTGATGGACAGGGAGGCCTGGCGTACTGCGGTTCATGGGGTCGCAAAGAGCCGGACATGACTGAGCGACTGAACTGAACTGAACTGAAGGTCACTGTTATTCAGGAAACATGTTTGGAGAACCCAGTGGGGTCTTGATACTGTGTTATTGAAAACAAGATTGATGATAGCTCATCTTCTGCCATATGTTACAAGTTAATGGATTCTCTCTTTCTGATTTACCTTGAGCTTCTGCCAACCAAAGTGATGCCACAGACTTGCATTTCATAACACAGATTCAGTGTGGTGAGATTGCTGTCTACCCTGACAAGTCTCTGTTTAGTGGGCCAATGGCCATCAACCTGCAGACTAGGAAGCCCATTCTTTAGTCAGTCTGCCTCACAGGATTTCTTTCCTTGGGAAGGCCTTTTTCTAAGCAACAAGTCACACAGCTTATACAGTTTCCTAATGGGCCTTTAAGCTGGAAAAATTACCTTCATAATGAGGTCTGAATGTTTACAAAGGAGCAGGAGGCTATGCTGATGGCTTCTCAAAACAGAAGTCCTCCTTCATATACCTGGCAGAAGGTTGTTCATTGATTATTGGGTACTTTGAACAGCAACTGGAACTAAAATGCTTTGCTAATAATTATGGAGAGATTCAAAAAAATTACAAGTCATGACACTCAAAGAACTTAGAATCCAATTGGGATGATGATTGATGTGGGAAAACCACCCATTCTACCAGGCAGTAAATAAAAAGAGGAAGCGAAACAATAAATGCTCCAAGATTTCAGAGGGAGAAATCACTCTCTCTTGGATTGATGATTGGGAAGGCTTCTTATGGGTGTGGCATGGTTTAACCGTGACCTAAAAATTAGTTAAATATGAGTAGGTGGGGAAAAAGGGAAAGATGCTGAAATGGCATGTAAGGATGGGGAGCAGTGTTAGGACTATGAGACCAGAGATGCAAGTGCATTAGGTAGGACTTTGAATGGCCCAGCATAGCAGGAAGGGAAGGTTTTGATGAAGAATATCAGAAAGATCAGTTCAGTTGCTCATTCGTGTCCAACTCTTTGTGACCCCATGGACTGCAGCACGCCAGGCCTCCCTGTCCATCACCAACTCCCAGAGTTTACTCAAACTCATGTCCATTGAGGAGGTGGTGCCATCCAAGCATCTCATCCTCTGTCGTCCCCTTCTCCTCCCTCCTTCGATCTTTCCCAGCATCAGGGTCTTTTCAAATGAGTCGGTTCTTCGAATCAGGTGGCCAAAGTACTGGCGTTTCAAAGTATTGGAGTTTCAGCTTCAGTTTCAGCCCTTAGAAAGATAGGGCCGAATAATTCAAATAACCAGTTATGTTTTTTTTTTTTAATTCTAGGTAATTAGTTAAATGTAAAGACTGACTAGATGTTTGATTATGTGGAAGATATTTTTTGTAAAGATGGGATAAGGGTATTGTTGTTCTCTTTTATAAGAGGAATCCTCATCCTTTAGAGACAAATAGTAGCTTACCCGGTAAAGAATCCACCTGCAATGCAGGAGACCCCAGCTCAATTCCTGGGTCAGAAGATCTGCTGGAGAAGGGGTAGGCTACCCACTCCAGTATTCTTGGGCTCCCCTGGTGGCTCAGCTGGTAAAGAATCTGCCTGCAATGTGGGAGACCTGGGTTCAATCCCTGGGTTAAGATCCCCTGGAGAAGAGAAGAGCTCCCATTCTAGTATTCTGGCCTGGAAAATTCAATGGACTGTATAGTCCATGGTGTCACAAAGGGTCAGACACGACTGAGCAATACTCGGTAAAATATTTATTAGAGAAATGATGTAATATCTGTGATTTGCTTTAAAAGAATCTGAGGAAAGCAGGCAGGGGAATGATTGAGGATGTAAAGAGACAAGATAGGCTATGAGTTGACAGCTGTTGAAACTGGAAGATAGACACATGAATGTTAATTACACAGTTCTCTACTTTTATGTATATTTGAAATTTTTCATGATAAAAAGCTGGGGGGGAGATAAGACTGGGTAAGTTAAGTATACTTTTGTTTGATTGCATTTTCCACCTCCCTTGTT